AAAAAATCATTTCAATTCAATCAATCAAAATTCAAATTCTATAAATTATTATTTATTTTATAAATCGTAATAAAGTTGCAAACTGGTCAGATAAAAGTAACCAGTAATGTATGTGCATTTTAATTGTCCTAATTATAATTTGCTTTATAATCTAATCTATAGTTAACAATTAAAGATTTATTATTCATTTGTTTTTACAGTTTATAGTCTATTTATTAACCGACTTCAAATAATAAGAAAGTAAACCGACTTAAAAAAACTAAACAGAAAAAAAAAACAACTGAACGGGCGTTCTCATTTACTATAAGTAGATACCTAATCAGATATTTTCGAAGTCGGTGCCAGCCGATGCCAAGCAAAGCTAATCTTTTTTTTGGTTAATAAAAAGGAATGTTACAATATCATTGGAACTGCAAAATATTCACATCTGATAATCTATCAGGGCTTCCACACAAAGAGACAAAATTTTATAGGTGTATGTATGTCGGTCCACGCATTTCTCCGAACTAATAATAATGTCGTGATCATTCTTTTTTTGTTATTTGTTTACATTTATTTCAACTTAGGGAATAGTAACATCAAAATCGATTCAGTAGTTCTTATGATATGTACTAAAACACGTAACTAAAACTGAAATTTTTTTTTTATAATTACTACTTATTTGAGGAAAGATTTCGGCTTTACACTGTAGAGTACCACGCTACGACCTTTAGGAGTGGGACGATTAGCCATAAATAAACTATGCGAACGGAGTCGTGGGCAACACTAGTTTATTATAATGCTATAGATTTTTTTTTTTACACTGATAACCTTATTGTTGCGGAAGGTATAAGATACATTACAGTAGTTTTTTGTAATATAACTCATTCTCACTCAACTTGTCAGATTGGGTCCTCGTCGGGTTCGACGAAGAACCAATCTGACGAGTTTAAGTACGCAATTTAATATATAGATTTAGCGAGTAGAACTATATAAATTTATAGTTATTATGTACATGAGTCGAAAGTTGGAAAAATATTAGGTTTGAAAAACAATAACTGACATGGAAGTCAGGTTGTGTAGTTTTACAAATTGAAAATGTTACATAATTGATTTTATTTATATTTAGCATCAATAGATTCGATCTTAACCAGCAACAGATTCAGTAATAACTTTTAGCTCGTCCCAACATTTTGCATTGAAGATAAGGACGGTATCAGCAGCATACGTATATATTTTACAATTTTGATCACTGTGGTCACAGAGATCGTTCACATAAATAGGAGTAGGGTAGGTCTTAAAACACTGCCTTGTTGAACTCCACTCACAACACAACACACTCTAAGATATACTTGAAGGTTGGCTAACATGTTCACCAAGTTTAAATAGTTGCTGATGATCGGTAAGATAATCTGCCAACAATGCATGGGGCATACGCATACCTCTTATACCATAATTGTATAACTTGTCGAGACGCATGGGAATAGATACAGTGTCGAAAGCTTTGGCCAACTCAAGGAAAACTCCAACGCATTTGTTACCTCAACCTAAATGATTGCTTATTTTATTAATCAAGACGAAAATCGTATCTTCAGTGGAAATACCGTTTCTAAATCCGAATTGGATTTGATCATAAATTGTTATCAATAAGATATTGTTCAAACGGTTGTTTATAAGTTTTTCCAGAATTTTGCTTAGTACAGTAAGTACAGAAATAGGCCTGTAGTTATGGACGTCGTCCCAATTCCCACCCTTGTATATATATAGGTGTTACAATAGCTAGTAGATCGTTTAAATGTTTTTGGAAAACAACCATTTGTGAAGCAAAGATTGTAGATATGGCACAATATTGGTATGAGGGTATGCTTGGCCATTCAAATAAATGAAGGAAATAAATGAAGGAAAGAAGGAATGTTATGTCACCCAGGAGCAGAGCTATTAATAATAATATCTAATTAAGTAGTATCGGTATGGAGGAAAGCAAAAGAATTTACAAGTGGAGATATTTTATGTGAACCTTTAAATATTACACTCAGACAAAAATATGATTCAAACGAATATCACACAAAGAGGAGAGAGTTATAAATAATAATTAAATATGTTGGGACATTAACACACAGTACCATCTAGTTCCATGGTAAGCTACGAGGCTTGTGTTATGGATACCAGGTAGTTGATACACCCCCCCAACGTGCGTTCACCTTGTCGTGGTGGGGGGGCTCAGTAGTAGTAGTACGAAGCTAAGAAACGCACAGGGAGGTTGCCCACTTCGGTGGGCGGTGGGAGGTGGCCCTCTTCGGGGGGCGGTGTACCTTGCGGGTTGCTCCTGGTACTTCTCTGATAGCAGAGTGGACCTTGGAGCAACCCCAAGGTTGTGGTGGTCTGCTTTGGCAGACCTGCCGTCGGGGCGTCGTAGTTGAATGCGTAAGCGATCCTGCGACGCCCCATTAAGATGGGGGAAGGTTTTGTTGGGTTTTAGTGGGTAGTACTGGCTGTATTACGCCGGTGAGTCCCACACGTCGTGCGTAAATGCATTTCCCAACGTTAAAAAAAAAAAAAAGGTAGTTGATACACTACACATAGATAAAATAAATAAAATCGCGTAATAAATTGAGATTGCATTCACACATGCCTTTAATTTTTTATACATACGTATATGGCAGAATATAAAGTAAATATATTAATCATTAAATAACCAAAAAATTACATCTATACATATAATTAAATTGTAACCAATCCGAATCTGTACATTAGATATTTTTTGGAAAATCTTATTGAAATAAACATTATTATCGATACAGGGTCCGAATCTATAGCTTTTCGAATTTTTGTCTGTCTGTCTGTTACCGCATCACAGAAAAATCACTGGAGGGATTTTGATGAAATTTGGTATGGTGATAGCTGGTTATCCGGGTCAACATATAGGATACTTTTTACCGCGGGAAAATATGTCATTTCTGAGAAAAAAAAATTTGAATCAATTTCAAAAACTGCAATGTAAACTAAAGAATTTGGTTTTTGGTCATGTGAACTCGAGCGGAGCTGCGGCACATGCTAGTCTTTCATAAATAAAGTGATATAATAATAGTAGCCTTAATTTTTTTAAAACTAGCATTGCTCGCGGCTCCGCCAGCGTTCAGATTACCAAAAACCAAATTCTTAGGTTTTACATATTAGTATGCTCTTACATTGCAGTTTTTGTATTTTTTCTCAAAAATGAGATATTTTCCCGCGGTAAAAAATATCCTATATGTTAACCCGGATAACCAGCTATCACCATACCAAATTTCATGAAAACTCCTCTAGTGGTTTTTCCGTGATGCGGTAACAGACAGACAGACAGACAGACATACAGACAGACAAAAATTCTAAAAACTATAGATTCGGCCTCTGTATCGATAATAATGACTAATTCAATAAGATTTTCCAAAAAATATTTAATGTACAGATTCAGCTTAGTTACAATTTTATTATATGTATAGATATTTGTACAAGTTAGTTCCTTTTTTTTTACTGAGCAAATTTTTTTTTATAATGCCATCATAGATTTATGCGAATGCTTAATTAACAATTTTGAATAATTTGTAATTTAAATAACCATACATAAAAACAAAAATTTAGTCAGTTGATATGATTTAAGGTTCAGGTTTCACAGACATATATTATATTGTTATACATTTTTATACGGGGGAGACTACAAATGTTAAATATTTTTCTTTTTAGAGATATCCTTAGATTTTTGCTTTTCATGAATTACTTTAGTGACCAATACTTTTTCCATCCTGTGGCAATTCTTCTGTTTATTTCCTTGGTTGTTAGGTCAATAGGTGATATAGTCTGACGTAGAATCTGATATATGTAGTCCTCAACATATTCTGAATACATATTGTCCACTTTTATTACGGGTTTATTTTTGTTCATCATCAATTTAGTATTTTCAATGTTCACAGGCAAGCCTGCTAAGCCGCTCTCTTTAAAGAGTTGTTGGATCATTATTTGTCAGACAGCCCGACAGGCAGAGTTACCTACTTTCGCATTTTATATTAGTATGGATATATGAAGCTGTTTTTTTGTGGTGCTAGTCTATCATCTTAAGGCTTAGCCAGTGTTGGCCATATACATTTCTGAAGACGACTCAATAGAACCATTTATTGTGTTTTCCCGCAGGAATAAAAGTTTTTCCTGTAGTAAAAGATATTCTAAATGTTGACAGAGTAATAAGTTATCACTACACAAAATGTCGTTAATATCGGTCCATTACTTATTGCGTATTGGTATACATTACGTGTATTCCAACTATTATTATTTTTTCACGACTCGTCAAATTGCAAAGTTGGAAAGTTTACGGCGACATTGTATAAATAATAAGCGTCAAATTAAAAACTTAAGGATACTATCTTTTTCGTTTTTTCCCGAAAAATACTATGGTGTAATCAGTTTGTAAAAATTTGGTACATGAAGTACACTTTTTCAATGATAATTGAAAAAAATGTAGTTTACAAAATAAAAATTATCGATTTCTCCAATTTTAAAAATTTTAAAGTGTGTTTTACAGGACGATCATACAATGTTTTTAATTTTTCAAAAGTTGCGTTCAATACGAAAAGAATGAGCTCTATCTGAAAACTGAACGAAATTTTTGTTAAATGTAAGCATCGGCTTGAAGTGGGGGTGATTTACAGTCACTCAAGACCATAAAACATACTTTTCTCGGAAATGGCAAAACATTTGAATTTCAATTTTTTTTTATCTATTTTATATATTTTGAAAATTACATTACCTTAGTTTCATGAAAATCAAAAGATTATTCTAGAAATTAAAATTAAAAAACCAAGATAAAGTTAAAAATCGAGTTTTTTGCAAATATCTCGTCACGCGACGTACACTACGGAGCAAAGTCGCGTGTTGTAGCTGCCGGTGATACGGTGTTAAGAACAATAACCTCGACTACTGTGAAGTGTTCAAACTGTAATGTAGTGATCAACGAACTTTTAGCGTTTCTTTCGAACGTGCTTGATTATATGGATGAAGACAGCATACATCAGCTGGTAACGTCGTCTTTCAACGTAGAAAGTATTTCTCATGCAAAATGTTTGCTTGTCGAATCCGTTCCTAATGCAAGAAAAATGCCGGTGAGGCGTAAAGATGGGAAGAAGAGAATGTCTCGAGACCTGGATGACATAATTTGTCTCATGAAAGGAATGGATGCCGAGGTATTCCCTGTGTTCGTGGCAAAGGATTTACATAAGGTGCCTAGTGTGAGTTTCGATCATATTGATTGCACTCGTCTGTTAAAAGACATAACGAAACTTCGGAATGAAGTCAGTTTGTTACAAGAAAACGCCGTTACAAAAGAGATGTTAGATGCGTTTAAAAAGGACTTGGGACGGGCGTCTATTATTATTGACAACGATGCATCTCAAGATCAATTTGTCAATAAAAGGAGAGGAGCGGGTATGCTGGAGAGCTACTATGAAATGTGCAGCGGCCCTGTTGGCTTGCAGTATGTTCCTATGAATATAAAGGCTAATAATGCGTCGTCATCGTCGTCATCCAGAGCGAAAAATCACTCAACGCCAACTAAGAATGAACTATCGCCCGCAAGCATGCAGTCTGTCTCTTTTCAATGCAAGCAAGCGAATGGAACAGCGAAAGACACTAGCAGGCACGTGGATGCCCGGACCGCGGTTTCGAACAACCAGGTAGGTATGAGTGAAACCAGTAATGGGTGCAGTACTAGGCGCTGCGGCGAAAGCGGGACAGCGACGGGGGGTGGTGAAGCCCAGCCACAGGGTACCGCGGTTTCGACTGGACCGGTTAGTGAACTTGAACTTGATTGTGCGTGCGCGTCGATCGACAAGTCGGCGATATTACCCAGTGTAAATTCGAAAACAGCTGTTATTAATATGTTGCCTTCTTTGTTATTAAATAAAAATGTCAGTCAGGATGCTAGGAACTGCTCACAGGTAACTAAAGAGAATTCTGAATGGCAAGTTGTTCAGTCAAAAACTGCCAGGCGATATAAACTTATCGGTCAAAAAGGCCGGGCTTCTGTAGCGCCAGACGGTAAGTATAAAGCTGCCGATATAAAAATACCGTTGTTTATTTCTAACGTCTCTAAGGATACGTGTGAGCTGGACATTATTATCTACATAAAAGATAACACCGGCGAGGATGTATTATTGAAAATGATAAAAATAAAAACAAATCGAAAATATAACGCTTATAAGTTATTTGTTTAAATGATGACTTTTGGCCTGATGGCATTACGTTTCGGCGTTTCGTGCATTTTAAGTATGGGCCGAAAAAAAGTGATTGTAATGTTAAAGTTTAATTATAGTGTAAAATTATAGATAGTGATTATAAAATGACATATAATAAATGTAAATTCATTAGTTTTAATTGTAAAAATTTTAAAACTTCCGTAGAAGATGTGAGAAAACTATGTAGGTCGGCGACTTTAGTCTGTCGTGGGGGGGCGTCAGTAGTGCCCGGCAATCCAACCGGGCGCGAAGCCAAGAAACGCACAGGGAGGTGGCCCGCTTCGGTGGGCGGTGGGAGGTGGCCCTCTTCGGAGGGCGGTGTACCATGCGGGTTGCTCCTGGTACTTCTCTGATAGCAGAGTGGACCTTGGACCAACCACGTGGTTGTTGTGGTCTGCTTAGGCAGACCTGCCGTCGGGGCATCGTAGTTGAATGCGTAAGCGATCCTGCGACGCCCCATTAAGACGGGCGAAGTTTTTGTTGGGTTTTAGTGGGTAGTGCTGGTATTTATTACGTCGGTGAGTCCCACACCTCGTGCGTAAATGCATTTCCCAACGTTAAAAAAAAGGAGATATTATAGTGCACAAGTGTACGCGCAGACATAAGTGCACTCTTTATTCCTGTCACTCTCATACTCCGGTGGGACGACTGCTCGACACGACCAGTGAGAGTTAAGGTGCAGGACCGACGGCTGATATTATTATTTTATATGTGATTTAAAAAAGAAGTTAAAATATTAAGCACCTTTATAGATAAAAAATATTAATCAGAATTACAGTTATTGCGATTCACACAGTAAGTACTTACATACATACATCTAATGGTTTGTTATGTTTGTTTTTGTTGTTAGATTTTATTATGTTTATTACAGGATCCCACGATGACGGTAGTACCCAGCCTAAAATAAAACCTTGAATTTAAACTTCTTTGGTTCTGGAAATATTTTATTTTATGCATTGCTCTTTATATAATATTTAATGGATTACGAAATGGTTTGGAAAAATTCAATAGAAGGAAATCTTTCATAAATTAATGAAACATATTTCTTTATTCATAACTTCTATAACTTACATATACTTATATTCTAGAAATTAAGTTTTTGAACTTTAACTATTCACACATTGATAGAGGAATATGCGTGACAAAAACATGTGAAAGTTACATCAAAAGTAATAGCCTAAATATTAATGACGTCTGGAATTGGTCGTCGAGGGTTGTCTCAACGAAATTGTGGAATACAAATATGGTTTAAACGCACTACGTGTTTAAATTGAGTTGTGACAAACAAACAGACGAAGGAATTAAATTGGACTACTTAGACTACACAGTTGGTGCCGTCGTAGTCAGCTTATGTAGTTTAGTAGTAGCCGGCAGTTATTATGATATTAAATTACGAAGAGCTACAGACAATGAAAAAGTTTCTCCAGGTGAGTAGATTATTTTTTTTATATCAACAACCTCTACTAAATAGTCCATTTGCGTTAAGAAAATAAGTCATCAAGTCCAACGGTATGTAAAGGCGTATACAAAGTTGGAGTAAAAATTCAATTCAAATTTAATATTTCAAAAGATTAAGTTTAATGGATAAAAATCAACTTAATTATCTTACTAATTTTAAAACTTAATTTGATATGATAATGACTTCATTTTGATTTGAGATAATTAAGTATATTAATTATCTTAAATCACAATAATATGATGATTTTATTTTAATTTAAGATAATTATGTCTATTTCAATAAGATTCTCAAAAAAATATTTAATGTACTTACAGATTCGGCTTAGTTACAATGATATTATGTTGTCATCTGAACGCTGGCGGAGCCGCGGGCAATGCTAGTCTATAACTATAGGCTATATGTATAGCTATAACGATCCTAATACCTTACCCAGATAGGTATGACCTTTCACAAGAATTGAGCTATCAAATGCTAAAAAGATTTTTCAAATCCGACAGATACACCCAGAAATTAGCGCTATCAAATAAAACAACAAACAAAGTGTTTTATCAACGTCTTTATTATATTATCAGCATAGATTTTAATACTCGAATTTACAAAAATTAAGCCAAATTTAGTTATACAAATTCAATTAAAATATAGAATTCAAAACTATGAATAACTTTATAAATATCAACAATAAACAATAACTCGACTTAGACCTTCAAAAATAAATAAGTAGCACATGGTAAAAAAAAATTCTCGTAAATATACAATAGTTGTATAATATTAAAATATTTGTATATAATATGCTAATTAGAAGACTTGGGAAACTTTTATGAAGTACTCATATTCGTATTGAATGAATAGCGAGATATTATGTCCCTTCATACCTTTATTTTATGTTATGCGGAATTTTATAGTTAAAATTCAAAGACACGCTTTTTTTCAAGCGACTTCAATATAAAATAATACGTTTATGTGCGTGTATGCTATGGGATATGTACGAAATTTGAAAATATTTCATATTAGCAGCTCACCCTCGCTACGTCCCTAGCTCGCTTCCTCATACAAACTTTCATTCCTATTTTAAATAAAACTATCTTTTCGGATTTATTATTTGCATTTTTGTTAAAAAATATTGTAATGTAATTGGTGCAATTTTCATTTTGTTAATTGTGGGTAGGCTGTCTGTAACAACTATACCTTCAAGACATGTAACACCTCAGTCTTTCCCGTGACCATGGATGCTGTAAAGCATTCGAAACGTCGGGAACCAAAAATCAAAATAAATTCGCGAAAAAATCCGAAAAGATAGTTTTATTTAAAATGTCAAGTATTCGCGTAAATCTAAGAAAGTATTAAATATAAAAATAAAAAACCAAAAACTGGTTATTTGAATTTTTCACATAAATTTTGAGGTTATGTGAAAAAAGTGTAAATACAAAAGTTGTAGATCTTTTCATTACCTACAACTTTGCGATTTAACTTTTTGTCATAGGACATGTAGTTTTGCCGGAAATCAAGATAAACCGTTTTTTACAATTAAAAAGGTCGGGAAGTGGAAGGGGGCTACCCCTTCCACTTCCCGACCTCAGATCGCCCCGTAAACTATTTTTCTTTTCATTTTTGTTATATTCTCTTCCTTTTCCAATGGGTCTCATCCTACCATTATTTTTTTTTGGTTTCAAAAATTATCGACCCTGGTCTAATATATAAAATGAACTAGCATTGCCCGCGGCTCCGCCCTCGTTCAGATGACCAAAAACCAAATTCTTAGGTTTTACATATTAGTATACTCTTACATTGCAGTTTTTGTATTTTTTCTCAGAAATGAGACATTTTCCCGCGGTAAAAAATATCCTATTGACCCGGATAACTAGCTATCACCATACCAAATTTCATCAAAATCCCTCCAGTGGATTTTCTGTGATGCGGTAACAGACAGACAGATAGACAGACAAAAATTCTAAAAACTATAGATTCGGCCTCTGTATCGATAATAATGTCTATTTCAATAGGATTTTCCAAAAAATATTTAATGTACAGATTCGGCTTAGTTAGAATAATTTTATTATATGTATAGATTTAGTAAAACCAAATCTGCTATCTTTACGCCCCCATGCTGTACGAGAGTATTCTTTAGGTTGAAGGATAAGTATATAAAAACTATTTATTGAAAACGGATATTATTTTAAATTTTTGAATGTATTCGGCCCTTTTTAACGTCCCACTGCTGGGCACGGGCCTCCCTTCAATACGAGGGGGATCAGGGTCCACCACGCTGGCCAAGTGCGGGTTGGCGGACTTCACATGTCTTTCGAAAACTTGCTAGGTTCTCTCAGACATGCAGGTTTCCTCACGATGTTTTCCTCCACCGTAAGGCAAGTGGTAATCGTGTTAGAAATGATTCGCACATGAAAATATCAGAGGTGCAAGACCGGGTTTGAACCCGCTTCACTCGGTGTCCCAAGCGAGCGTGTTACCACTGGGCTACCACTGCCTTAATTTTTGAATAAGTAACTTAAGTGTTTTAAAACTTTATTTTTGAATAAGTAACTTAAATGTTAATAAAAAATATATATAGGTACATACTGTATACTAGATTTCAAATCGTGAAGATCCAGTGAGAACGCGATATTTAAAAATCGGTATAGAACCAATAACTTTTTCAAATTCATTGATTTTCATAGCATAAAGTTAAAAAATTTTTTGCTCACACTCCAAATTTTGGCACTAGCCCCGAGTGCCCCTAGTGTAAATCCAGGGCAGGGCGTGGTTTTCTTCGCGTTCTTGCTCGCATTCGTTTTATACTTGGTAGTGGAGGCGCCTGCGAGTCGGCTGTTAGCAATGTTACAAGAAAAGACTTCAAAGGAGAAGAAGGAAATGTAGATTATTGTGTATTAGGTTAATATCCTATGTACAACATCAATAAAATGTTACATATTAATATAATATACATTTTATTTCCACGGCGTTTAAAGGTTACGTAGTCTGATAGTTCACAAATAATAAAAAATAAAAATAGTTTTTTTCTTAATCATCTTTACAACTTTATGTTCGAGTCTTCCCAGTAAGTGATCCGAGGATACTTGTGTTGGGAATGGCCTGCTTTTAAATAATAAAGGTACAACTCGCTACTTATTGAGCCAAAGATTACTCAAAAGTGATAATGGTATTAAGGTGCTTGAAAGAATGATTTCTGTACAGATAAAAGTTTTATTTATATTAAACAATATTAACTTTACATATATATAAGTATAATGTCCAAAAATACTTAGTCGAAATTTTGAGATTAAAACACAAAAATACTAATAATTATAATACTCCGGTACTTACTTTACTTCGTTCGAACTCTTGCAATGATTCTTGATAATGTAATCAATAAGATGTTAGGAGTTAATCTGTTTGTATAATCCCTGTTGAAAAACTCCAATATAATCACACCAAAAGCGACATAGGAACCAATAAATATTTATTGGTTCCTATGTGGCTTTTATCGCTTTTGATGGGATCCTATTGGAGTTTTTAAATAGGGATATTATCTTGAAAACATATAGAACTTGCAATACCCGATACTATCTATACAGATATATAAAATTGAAGTGTATCTTTGTGATGTCAAAATAACAGCTTCTTACTAAATGTATATGAAATATATATACCGTATATAACGGTACCTAATTATAAGAAAAACACTTTTTTTAATTTTTGTCTGTAGTTCTGTTTGTTCTGATTAATCTTCGAAACGACTGGACCGATTTTAACGGAACTTTCACTGGCAGATAGCTGATGGTATAAGGAGTAACTTAGACTACTTTTATCTTGAAAACAGAATTAGGATTCCGCTCAAAAAAATTGAAACGTACCTAGGGACGCACCCGAGCGAAACGAGGGTAAATCGCTAGTATCAAATATTAAAAATATTAATAGAAACTTCTCATGTATAGAGGTGAATTACGAATTTCTATTTTAATCACATTTCCCATTGTGTTGAAAGTTGAAACTTTGGTGAGTTTCCGCTCACGAGTGTTTCTCTGACCGTGTGAGACCGTATTATACCTACAGATATTATTAGTGAAAATATAGTCTGAATCACAGATAACAGAAATAATAGATACCTATTGACTATTGTACTAGTATTGTATTGTACCATACAAATACATCGGATGCCCTCAATTTAGTATTTAACCAATTTTTTGCCTAAATAGATTATGGAAAGCGCTTGTTCGAGAATTGCCACGCTTCTTTATTTTATAGAAATATGTGCATTGTATGTATTTTACATAGGGTGGATCAATACAAATTACAATAAATTTAAAGGAAATAGATATATACGAAATCAATACATATAACGCCATCTATTGACAATTGTTTGAACTATTTCTTTTTCTTCGTGATGACTAAAGAGACTCCATGGTTGGTGGTCTAAATACTCAAGTTGAACAGGTATAACCAGTAATTTAAGTTTTTGTTTATTGTGTGTCTACAAATATGGACACTGCATGATCGACGATAAGTCCGATCGCTAGTTTTCATTATAAAAAATCTAGACCCTTCCCTTTACAATTATGTATGGAAGTCTGCCCGTTTTGTTGACATTTATGATTACTGTTCCGCTCCCTTTGGTAGTAGCATGATTATATATATAGCTTATAGCTTCCCTCAATAAACGGGCTATCTAATGAAAAAAGAATTTTTCAAATCAGATTAGTAGTTCCTGAGATTAGAGTGTTGAAACAAACTACCTCTTTATAATATTAGTATAGATAATGTGAAGTTATTACTCATATTAAACTGTTATAGGTTTCGATGCCTACTATACATTCATCAAGTAAGGAAATCAAGTGCATAATAATTTGAATACAATTAACTTGGCGCTCGAAACTGTGGCACAGTTACCTACTAATAATAATCATGCTCCAGATATTATGAGAAATGAAAATCATAATTCATTAATTATATATTATATCTAATCAAAAAATATTATGATTCTAAAAAGTATTTTAATAGGTCATTGGATTTGCACTTATGTGCAATATTCTGAAAATATTGCTTGTTGGTATAGATATCTACATGTGTATAAATATTAAAAATGTGAAAGTTTGTATGTTTGTTACTCTTTCACGCCAGAACGGCTGAATTGCTCTGGATGAAATTTGGCTCAGAGATAGATTATAGTCTGGAATACCACATATACTTTTTATCCCAAAAAAATATATGGTTCCCGAGGTATAGATATGTTTTTATTTTTCTAGAGGCAAAACTGTGGGAAGCCAGGGTGGTCTCTTAGAAATATGTGAAGAATAATTAACTATTACTAATACATATAAAGTTGTTATCCTAATGACCAAATCAAACAACTGGATCTAAAGTTTTAATAAAAAATTATTTACAGAACATTTCTGTTATGAATTATGAGGGTACCCGAAAAACTACACTAAACGGCTACTAAACTACAATAAACTCACAAAAACCTTTTTTGCACTTGCCAAGTGCTAAAAAGGTTTTTGTGAGACTGTAATGAATAATTATCCAATAACAAAAAACCAATTTTATTATATTCATTAAAATCAAGCCAAATTTAGTTTGAGATGTTTATCTACCATGAAATAAAACAATATTATAATTTAATATAATTATTATTATTAATAAAATTATTCAAGTTTGGTTCGGTTCCATTAAGGCACGTCTAAGGCCGTACATTGCGATTAAAGCTAATCATTACTCAGAGTAATTTTATATAATTGATTGTAAAATAAACAGTTAAAAACAAACATTGTTATTCAAATTTTAAAATTGTAATTCAAAAATGTATTAATCATACTTTTATTATAACTATCTGGTTATTTTACAATCAATATACGATCAATATCGTAAACTTAGAAGCAAATATTATCGTATTAAAAATATATAAAATAAATTCGAAAGAACATAAGATATAATCAAGAGATTCTAAAATTAAAAACATGAACCTCAAAGAGCACCAAACAAAATGTTTCATAATATATCGCTGCCAAAAACATAATCAAAAAATATCTTTCGCTGCAAGTTATTCTTTTTTTAATACTTATTTAAAAAGGTTAACTTTTAATCAGTCTTCATAAATATTCAACATTAAGTACTAATTATACACTTTATATGACCATAAAGGCAGTGGTAGCCCAGTGGTAACACGCTCGCTTGGGACACCGAGTGAAGCGGGTTCAAATCCCGGGTCTCGCACCTCTGATATTTTCATGTGCGAATCATTTCTAACATGATTACCGCTTGCCTTACGGTGAAGGAAAACATTGTGAGGAAACCTGCATGTCTGAGAGAACCTAGCAAGTTTTCGAAAGACAGGTGAAGTCCGCCAACCCGCACTTGGCCAGCGTGGTGGACTATGGCCTGATCCCCCCACGTATTGAAGGGAGGCCCGTGCCCAGCAGTGGGACATTAAAAAGGGCTGAATACATACATACATATGACCATATTCTTCAAATCAATGCAATGAAATTATTCCAAAAACTAAATATTGTCATTAATTTTGCTTGTGAATACAAAACTATATATAAAAAATATGAGATTTTCTTTTAGTTTTCATTAGACACATTATAAAATAATATTTTAGCCTAAAATTATAGAAATAAATTTTGTAGAGAATATCTAAAACTGGAAACAATTTATGCTTATTGACAAAAATCAGACTAAAAATGCAAAAAAGCACCTGAAGTAATACAAACAATGTTAAATCACAAGTTTGGAATGTTAATTAACAACTAAATCTAAGGACATTAGTGGCTATCAAAGTGAATCATTGGTTGCTTTTCTGCAGGTACTGCAACAGAGTAAATAAAGAATAAATAAATTCTTAAAATTAAAATACAAAGGTAAAAAATAGCTTATTATAAAATACTTTTAAAAAAACTAATCTATTGTAGTTTTTTTTAACTACTATTATTTTATTTTGGAAGATTTGAAAAATTAAACTGTAACTAATTTCAGCAAACTTTCACTGGCTGTATAAATTAACAATTAAACCATTAAATTAAACACCTATAAAATCAATTTGTATTTTCTTAAATTTGAACTTTAAAACAAAATGATAAAGATCAATTTAAATCAATAATATCCATCCATTAAAGATTGTTAATTAATTATATTATTAATTTTAATAATTACTGTATTTTGCATCCTTTCTTCTTCTTTTGCATATCAGCTTGCTTACTTTTCTTTTTGGCGAGGCCTTCAGCGGTAATGTCAGATATAACAGACAGTCTTTTCGACTGATCTGGCCTTTCAAAATTTTGTGAAGCTATTGAATGGTCGGGAGGATAAGTGGAGCTGTATAGGGTACTACTTTCACTGAGACTATGTGACATTGAGGTATTAGGATTATCATTTCCTGACAGTACATTATCTGTAGGGTAATGAGATGCTGGTCTGATGCTTACAGGATCGGGAAAGCGAGGCTTCTTACCAGTAGATGGTGGAGGAGGTGGATGTCTATGGTGAATTGAGGTATTGAGGGAACCGGAGTTACTGGATCTATTAGACTCAAAAGATTTTGAATGCTTATGAGATACATTTAAATTTATGTTTGATGTTGTTGCTGCTTCATTAATAAAATATTGCTTTGATAATTCTTTGGATAACAAGGCATGTTCTTTTGACTGAATATGTTCTTTTTCAAATGGTTCCACATAATTGAGGTCCGAGTCTACTGATTTACAAAGTCTTAGACCATTTTCTCGTATCATATCTCTAGGGTTGCTGTAGGCATCACATAGTGTAGTTTGTGGAGGTTCTGGGAGGGGCATTTGCTGTAGCATTGCTTGCCTTTGTTGTTTTTTAAGAAGAGCTTTTTGCCTTGCTTTCTCTTTAGCCCTTTGTAATTTTTTATACTCTCTTTCCTGTAACAATCTGGCTAGTTCACCATCTTGAGCCTCCACAGCACATCTCATATCAGCCAGAAGAGCATCGTGACCTTGGCTTTCTTGACTCAGTTCTCTTGCCAGTCTTGCATCTCTTTCTTCCTGTTCAATGCGTTTTCTCATCTCCTCTATTTCAGATGCAGACAGACCTAATTCCTCTGGATCTATGTCTGGCGATTGTGGTGCAGGAGCCTTTGATGAACACGGTTGAGGTGTGGGTGGAAGTGCATCTTGAGCGGGATAGCGACGTTGTCGACGTATATTAATTTCTGCCATTTCTCGAGCGATTTCAGCATCGATTTCAGCTTGTCGTCGACGTGAAAGTTCATGCAAATGCACCTCATGTTCTATATCCCTTTGCTCATTTAAAGCCACTGGGAAGTCCTCACGAATCTGTTGATTGCGGTACCTGTTTTCACATAGATGTGACGATATTTCACGGTCTTGAAGATGATGTGCTAAAGCACCGTCAGCACGCACCAGCCATTGCTCCCTTAAATCCGTCACATGCCCCATCTTTGGCATCGTATCACTTGTTTTTGTGCCCGACATTCGTATACAACTTTATACTTACTACTTATTTAGGAGATTCTTATGAAATTCTTTAAAGGAATGTGCAATAAATGAATTTACGACGTAATATTATTGGTGATTAACACGAACACTCATGATGAGACAAGTCACTAAGTCTTATCAACAAATACCTTTCACATTAAACACGAACTTTCTTTGCGTTACGTGAGAATAAGCGAATACTTTTTAAGTTTCACAGCGATGTTTGTGCGAACAATAGCTTTGATAATCTACATTCTACATAATTAATTACTGAACTTGCACCTTGCCATGCCACTCGCATCGTCACATCCCTTCTCTTCACAACAAATTACAAATTCAAGAATTTAGAATTCCAATAATTGACATGAATGATCATGACAGGTGGATTCCTCTCAGTGATGCACAATCATTGAAAATTCATAAAACAAAATTATCGATTAAACAATCGGTTATTAACCAAATAATCGTTTCTAAACTTTAAGAAATGAGTTTAATCATAATAATAATTAAAAACTTTAAAAATAATAATAATAAACGACTTCCAGGCACTAAAATGTATAAAATAACTTAACGGGCTTTTCATTTAGAATAGATACCTAATCAGATACTTTCGAAGTCGGTGCCAGCCGTTGCAAAGTAAATCTAATATATTTCGTATGTAAAATACATCACAAATTGATATATAATATTTTAACTATATTTATAGTTCATATCTAATGATATTTATCTATTAGATATTCTAAAAATATTGTCGGCTGGCACCGACTTCGAAAATATCTGATTAGGTATCTATTCTAAATGAAAACCCCCGTTTAGTTATTTTTTACATTTTAGTGCCTGGAAAACGGTTTTATTTTATTTTTTTTAAGTTTTTATTTTTCCATTTTTAGTGTAGATGTAATAAGCAGGTAATTTGTAAGAAGAAAGTTTTTTAATAACATATTCGATTAAGCAATTTATTTAAAAAAATAATTTATTGTTTAATTTATTTTAATACCACTCGACCAATTTCGATAAAATTTAAATGGGACCACCTGGAAGTATACCCTTCAAAAAAAATCCAAATCGGTTCAGGCGTCTTCAATTAATTGGTGAATATACATAAAAAAAAGATTCCGATGAATTGAGAACCTGCTCCATTTTGGAAGTCGGTTAAAATGCAATTAAGTATATTAGTATTTATCAACAACAATAAATAAGATCAATATTTGTGTCATTTAATGTTTTATTCAACATAATCATATCACTACTCTGATAATTTCCCTCCTGTAGATCGTCTTATAAGGGATGTTTGAAAACATTTCTTGAATTCTTTATCATCCACTCCTTTATCTATGAAGAATAATAAGTAAACAATAATGTTTTGTTTTTTTTATTATATTTTATTTCAATGTTATCTTATAACTTACCAATTATTTCAATGAATTCATATAATCCTTTATTATGTCCCGTAATATAAAACGGTAGTTCCAACATTCGAAATAGCCAACTCGACATTATGGGAAATCTGATACAAAAATGTAAACAAATTACAGGTTACTAAAATTCAAGGTAATTTAAGACTTAAGTTTTATTAATACAATGCTAATATTATTACTGTTTCTAAAACCATGTTGTTGCTGTAGTTTCTATAACCATATAACAAAAGATTCAGTGTTTCATTTCAATTATATATACTATTATTAATCACATTTAAACAGTAGTACCTGGGCTACCGAGCTTCGCTCGGAGTTTTTGGCCTACAGTATAATTTTTTTTTAAACCAAAGACTTGAATAAATATAAAAAACACAAAAGAAAAACTTTGTATTTGACCGGAATACGAACGAAGATACCTGTGGCTGTCAAACTTGGGCCTTGGCCGTTTGTCCACGATGCTTATGTTCTAGCGTGCGAATTAGCGACCATATTTTGTGTGGAATAATGTAAAACAAAACCCCATAAAAACTCGAAAACACGCGATTTCCCAGGCATAAAACTAATCTAGATGGATTTATCGCTTCCGAAAACTCCTGTATACTAAATTTCATGAAAATCGTTGGAGCCGTTTCCGATATTTAGATTATACAGGGTGTCCCAGAACTCAACGTCAAGCCGAAACAGGGCGACAGGATTGATTGTAACCATCATGAAAAAAATCAGAAAAAAAATCTATCCCATGCAGTTTGAAAATTATGGGCATTTAAGAAAAACCTAAAAATTTGGTCACACTGTAATCATTTTTCGGTTATTGTGGTTAATTTTTATTATTTTTGTTCATTTAAACTTTGGAACCGTAACCCTAAATAACATTTCTAGAATCACAGTCAAAAATAATGACACAATTGCCCCAAGTTTCCTGGAATTAAGACTATTTGTTAAACTATGAATTTAAAATTTTCAAAATTTGTCAACTTTGAAAGGTCCTCCTTTAAAAAAAATGTATTAGAGCGCCTTGGCAAGTGCCGTTAAAAGTTAGCGCATTTAATCAGGATTGTAAAATGGTACAATACTTGTTAGTTTCATACTATAAAAAACGAGTAAAAAAATAAAAACCTCAAGTAACCCGATTTTTGCTAACCCATTTTACTCAGTTAAAATGTTTTTTATTCGCACAAGCTCTTGGTAGGTTCTTAATTTTACGGCAAAATGATGAGAGAGATGGGTAGTGGACATGTTTGCCATGAGCGAGCGAGACAGATAGTGACGCCACTTTTACCAAAGTCAACAAAAGTAAGTAAAATTAATAAAATAATGAAAAATCTTGACCTAGTTTAGTTTAGGTTTATTGAAATAATAAAAGTCAGATAGGGAAATAACATTTTTTATTACAACAAATGTTCAAATTGTTTACCATCAGCTTCAATACACGCCTTACATCTTAAAAACGATCTACTTATTAGCCTGGCATATCCTCGAGAGTTGATGTCCTCAGCAGCTTGAGAAATTCGTTCACGCAGGTCGGCTACGCTCTCAATGGGCTTTGAATAAACTGTTTCTTTGAGAATGCCCCAATAAAAAAAGTCCAGGGGATTTAAATCTGGGGAACGGGCTGGCCACGAGATAGTGCCTGAACGACCAATCCACCTTCCCGAATATTGATGGTCAAGGCAATGTCTTACTTGCACTGCGTAATGCGCTGGGCAGCCATCTTGTTGATACCACATGTGACGACGATCTGCTAGTGGTACGTCCTCTAATAAGGTTGATTGAACGGTGCACATTAACAAATACGCGGTGATCCGGATAGCGCTCCAAATTTGGATATCTTTCACGATAAAGTCTAGCGGCAGCACTTGCGTTGCATCTGCATTCCCCATAAATGAGGTGCATGTTCGCATATTCTTGTGAAGTGTAGCGCGTAGGCATGGTAGATAACAAGGATGCCAAGACAAAAGTACAATTCCAAAAAGAGAAGCCAAAGTTGTCAGTACTAAATTAACACACGCGAATACCAAAAGGTGCGCAGTAGACGAATGAGCTTGGTATGGCGTCTGTATCTGTTTAATTCGCACTCGGTTAAACGACGCATCTTCGTCTCACTGCGTGGCGTCACTATCTGTCTCGCTCGCTCATGGCAAACATGTCCACTACCCATCTCTCTCATCATTTTGCCGTAAAATTAAGAACCTACCAAGAGCTTGTGCGAATAAAAAACATTTTAACTGAGTAAAATGGGTTAGCAAAAATCGGGTTACTTGAGGTTTTTATTTTTTTACTCGTTTTTTATAGTATGAAACTAACAAGTATTGTACCATTTTACAATCCTGATTAAATGCGCTAACTTTTAACGGCACTTGCCAAGGCGCTCTAATACATTTTTTTTAAAGGAGGACCTTTCAAAGTTGACAAATTTTGAAAATTTTAAATTCATAGTTTAACAAATAGTCTTAATTCCAGGAAACTTGGGGCAATTGTGTCATTATTTTTGACTGTGATTCTAGAAATGTTATTTAGGGTTACGGTTCCAAAGTTTAAATGAACAAAAATAATAAAAATTAACCACAATAACCGAAAAATGATTACAGTGTGACCAAATTTTTAGGTTTTTCTTAAATGCCCATAATTTTCAAACTGCATGGGATAGATTTTTTTTCTGATTTTTTTCATGATGGTTACAATCAATCCTGTCGCCCTGTTTCGGCTTGACGTTGAGTTCTGGGACACCCTGTATATATATATATATATATATATATATATATATATATATATATATATATATATAAGAATTGCTCGTTTAAAGATATAGGATAAATAGAAATTATAGTTTCTTTTTAAATTATAAAATAATACTAATAAGTAATTTTGTTGCGAATCACTTTATTTTAGTTTATCCACAGGTACAATAATATTTAACGTGCTGATGGAAGCAGCGACAGCAATGTCCCCGAACGTATGTTATATGCGAATAAACATTAATAAAATTTAAAGACTATCAGTAACTAAAAAGACTGAACAAGATAGGTATATTATGAATTTCGATTGAGAGGGCTATTTTAAGGGTTCATTTTTGTTGCATTATTTAAAAATAAACAATTTACAAACGAACAATTATTAATGGGAACAATCAAGAACAAACGACGTACAAACGAAATGTGAAAACAAAAATTCAAAATATTAGAAATGCGTGTACTCCGGTTCATTTAGCAAAATTAAAAATTAGAAATAGCTCTATTTGTGAATGTGGCTTAGATGAGGGTTCCACTGATCATATTCTCTTTAATTGTCCCAAACTGAAATATTCTCTATATGATATAATCCCTCCTCAAATTCACCGCCCAGTTAACACCAAATGTTTAATTAGCCCTTGTATTTAGCCCATTTATTAAAAAACTAGTTAAATTTATAGTAGATAATAAAATTAAATTATAATATAGTTCTCATTATGTGTATATTTTTTCATTCTCAATCAATGTGTCATTTTTGTATTACGTAATTATTTTTCTATTGTTATAGGTTAATCTTGTAGACCGATCATTCATTTATAGTTTTAATTCCACAATAAAGTTACCAAATTTCAAAATTACCGCTCAATCTCATTCGTGTCTTCCTCACAAAACGTGACACTGGCAGAATGGACTGCGTCTGTTAACCAAGGATTTTATATATGTTCCGTATATGGAATATATAAAATCCTTGCTGTTAACGCAACTATAAGCCATATTAAAAAAAAAACATTTCTGACATTTCAGAAATGTTGTTAGCTTTGAAACATTGTCACTAAAAACGGAAAGCATTTTAGCAAAATAAAAAAATAAACCTTTCTTGAATTTAAGGTTTCAATTAGAAAAACTAAGTCTTAAAAAACTATTGATAACTCTAAAATGGTAATTATTTTTTATTATCATATTATCGAAGTTAGAATAATTATTAAGAAAATTATTTTTCTATTACAGGAATCCCTATCCAATAATACATAGGTCGCAAGCCTTTTTTTAGGAAAACCCCTTTGTTTGTAAAATCTTTGCAATTGGCAAAAAGAATTGGAAAGTTCCAAAAAGACAGGTCCACAACGTCTTTCACGATTTTTTATTATTGTTTTTGGCATGAATGCATAAACCATATCATAAAAGAAAAGGATAAAATGTGCCCTCTTAATGATCTGATGGATAGTGTGAGTGATTGTTCTATAATCCGAGTGGATGATGACGACAAGGATGATATAAGTAATAATGATTAGTAAATATTTTCATTTCTTATATTTTGTTTTACTCTGTTTTTTTCATTTAACCATTAAAAAATTTTACATTATAGTTAGTGTGCATTGAATGCACAAAACAAAGACTATTTACAATGTCATACATATAGTTTACTTGATCTAATTCTGTTTCATATTTTTTGTTATTTTATATTACAAAAATACAAAGCAAAAAAGGTTTATGATATCTGAATTGTTAAAGAATGACAGCTGTCTTATTTCCGTGGAATTAAAAATCAGACTACACGTTGCTAGAATATTATGTCCGCAGATAGACTATGACTTAAGTGTCTAAATCTGTATACTACATTTTATTCATCTCTTTCTGTTTCAGCGTCAAGAAGTTACGAGCATATAAACTTTTGCATATACAACAGTATTTCATATGAAAAGGCACATAAATAACACAAACTATAATATTATCGTTATCTATTTGATGAAGCTTAGGTGATAAAAGGTCACTCAATAATCTCTTATTTTTAGCTGGTTTGCGTGTGCGCAACGGGCAACCACGCGGTTACGATAATGTTATATTTTTCCGTAGCACGGTTCACCAAACCGGACGCGGGATTATGTTCTTTCTAAATTTTTAATTTATATTTTCACACATCGTTTGTTCGTCGTTTGTTCTAAACTGTGCGCTATAAATAATTGTTTGTTCGTCAATTGTTTATTTATAAATAATTAAAAAAAAAATTCCCTCAAAATAGCCGCCTCAAATCGAAATTTATATTTTTTTTGTTACTAGTAGTCTTTAAATATTAATTACTGTTTGTTCGTTTATGAAATACGTTTGTTCTCTCCCTTAAGTGTCTATTTATTGTTTTTATTAACAATTTTCATTTAGTTCCATTATGTCAATCTTGGGGGGCTAGGTTTGGTGAGCCTGCATGTGATTTTTTAATAATGTACTCTGTGGTGCCCGTTTGTCGTGTGTAGTGAATAACGGAATCGTCCTTGAAAATTCCGATCCAACTTCCAAGTTCCAACGTCGAATGAAATTTAATCGCATTACTCCTTATTATATTCGAGTTGTCTTAACATAATTTACTTTTTAAATGGCATCCTTCTTTATATTCCTTTTTTAGAAACTGTTTGTAGAAACAGATATCGTTGAATTTTAATCTATTTAAATTTTTATTATACTTCTCATTGCAAGATTTACGTTTGAGTTGGAAACACATAAATTTTTAAGTGAAGAAATAATGTTCAAACTTTGGTCATTAAATAATAAAACTTATTGTAAAATGTTTAGTTTTTGCAATTTTCTTAATACTAAGTAAGTATTTCCGGTTTCTGAATATGTATTAATAAAAAAGATTATATATTTTAGACATATAAACATTTAAAATGCGCTAGCATTAAATTCCAATGGAGTAATTGCTTTTAAATATTTTTAAAATAAATATATATTTAATTACTTTATTTTTAAAGTTCAATAGATACCTGATACAATATTATTTTACAGGACATTGACTGAACAGAAACCTATTCTGTATGGAGATGAAATTTCGCCGCCGGTAAGATTTGTTTTAATGACAGCATCCATTTTAAAAATCGATATGGATTTCCAAAAAATCGATTTATTTAAAACGGAAAATAGAAGCGAATTTTTTAAAAAGGTATAAAAACAGTATATTTTGATAATTATTTAATTCTCGTATATTAGTTATTTATTACGTATAACTACAGATCACATAATACTTTATACTATACTAGTACAGATGCCTCATCCCATACAAAGAAATTAGACAGCGTTAATTCGGGCTATTCTTCAGGTTATTTTTATTTAATTGAATAGATTATAGAAGTCGTTGATTCGCAAATAGTTAAACTGTTTTATTTTATAAATATGTGTAAGCTAACGTATGGTAAATATTGTAAAATTCATCCTGTATTCGATTAAAAAAACGTGATTTTGTGTGACATTGTATAACTAATAGACAACTAAGTGTTACATAACATTACGTTATCAAGATTTACACCAGAATAACATTTAAGCAAAACTTTTCATAAAGCATTTCACTTTTGACATTATAAAATATTTTTGTTTTAGATAAATCCTCTACAAAAAGTACCAGCTATGGTTACAAATGATACAAATGTATGTGACAGCCATGCTATTGCTATATATTTCTGCCAGCTTGTCAATGACTATTCCCTGTATCCAGAGGATCGTGTACAAAGAGCAAAAATAAATCAAATATTATTCTTTAACTCTAGCACTTTGTTTCGTATAGATAGTGAATTGATGGTAATGTAACACATAATATTTTATATGATATTATGCTTATATTGTTCTTTGTTATCAAATTTTAAATATATAAAAATATTTTGAGGAAATGATAGAGACCCAAGTTATAAATATGCTTAAAATGACAAAACTTTCGTTCATTCATTTTTCACATCATTTTAATAATTCCGTTCCATTTAATACTATCCGATAACTACAATTTCCGGATCAGATCCGTTATTAGTATAAATTTAATGTATAGGTAGGCCAAAGAGAAGCAGGGGGTTCTGGTGTCAACATAAAAATAACCTAACGAGATAGTTTTCCCGCATGACCGACAGTGATCTGAGTCAGATGATCTATCACGTAATCAAAAAAAATATTAAAATCCAAATTATATACTTGAAAATAATGATAGCAGGTAATTTGTAAGTAGAAAGTTTTTTAATAACATTTTCGATTTAGCAATTTATTTAAAAAACTAATATAATATGATTTTGATCAAATTTAAATGGGACCACCTGGGAAGTATACCCTTCGAAACAAAAAAATTAAAATTCCAAATCGGTTCAGGTGTCTTCGAGTAATCAGGAAACATATATAAAAAACAAATTCGAAAGCGAAAGAACGAACGGTGAATTGAGAACCTCCTGCTTTTTGGAAGTCGGTTAATAAAACCTTATTTATGAAACATGATGAGTTTCCATTACAAAGGTGTATTCCCTACCTATTCATTATAATAGGAAATATACCTATTTATGTTAGCTTTTCATTCCCTCAAAATAATTTAGATTTACATCACCATTTTAGTTTGTACATTACACACATTAGAGTACACATTTATTATTAGTTTAACCTTGTGTCAGGTATACTGCAAGTTTTCTATCCACCATACTAATGCTTAATCTTCGAGTGCTTTCACTCTATTACTTTATATTGTATAAATTACATTTATTAGATTTTTTTTCTTTATAATCACTTTTAGAGTACATTTTTTGCGGGGCACTGGCCCATGGGTGAAATGAAACTAGAAGAATGGTACTCAGCTTTGGATTTTTTAGAGTTTCTCTTGAATAAAAATAATTGGTTAGCAGGAAATAAGGTACATTTAAAATCTCAAGTCAATCAATATTTTCTTAGTGTGTATAACAATAGAAATACTTATTAGTAAAAAAAACTTTTAAAAATTTCAGATTCATTTATGCGACATTTGTGTTGTGACGGTAGTGACGTCTATGTGTTTATTGGTTCCACTAACACAACGACACCCTAGGGTACAACAATGGGTTAAGCTTTTTGAAAGCTTACCTTTTTATGATATTAATAAACGAGGATTATGTGCTTTAAATAATTATATAATGGCGATGAAGATTTGAAATGTCATTTAATGCATTAAGATTTATGAAAGCGGTTTATACATATATACGTTTTACGCAATAATAAAGAATATTTGAAATTAATTTAATTTACTTTTTATTTATTTTTAGACCTTTTTTAACGTCCCATTGGCAGGCACGGGCTTTTCATCAATTTGAAGGGGATCAATCAGCCCATGGTCCACCTCGCTGGCCAAGTGCGGGTTAGCAGAATTCAATCATTTTTCGAAAACTTGCTAGTATCTCTTAGACTTGCAGTATTCTTTGCAGACGAAAATATCAGAGGTACAAGCCCCAGAATTTGATCCCATTTAACTTGATTTTTCATTATTGAAATAATACTCTATGGATGCATAATCGATTTTTATGGAGATATAAAAACAGATTATTCCCTTATGATCATCACTATGTCATTGTGATATGTCAAAATTTGTGTTGTCTATGGACTCTATTGATTGGTCGACGAGGAGATGTAAAAAATGGCTGCCTTGCCTTCTCCTACTCAGGTAGAATTAACGTAAATTAAATTATTTGTGTAGTGCTGATTAAAACGGTTTGTGGATTGAATCGGAGTTTATTAAATTGTCTACTGTTTAGTGAGGTTTTAATACAGTAGAAGACATTGGAACAATACTATATTCGGAGTTGAAGTGTCGGGAACTAGTCAGATTACGCTGCTGTTTAAACTTTTAGTTTTATTCGTTTTCATTACTTACTGTTATAGTTTATTGTTTTAAAAAATGGTGTGGTGATTATTTGTGGTGCTCATTTATGTTATAGTTCCTTAGTTTTCTATTTTTCCTTAATAATCTTTAAGTTTTTGCGCGAACATTAAATGTCACGAACACTAGATATGTCACACCCATATAACAACTGAAAATAATTGTGTAAAGTAAATAACGTGTATATTTAGCGTGAGAAATCTTCTCAAAATGTGGATTGAACCATTGCAGGTGGCAGGGACCCACAGTTCTATATACGAAGCTTATTATCACCAAGTAAGTCCAATGTAATGTTGTTACTTGTATAATGTCCTTTTATGTTATAAATCTGGTTTTAATTAAAAAGTTCTCTGGAACAGGAACCCAAAAAAACATAGTCGTAAGAATTTTAATATATAGTCTATCATGTTCCAAATAACCTTCATATGCCATAAAAATCAATAACTTTTCAAGAATTTATCATTTAAGTTTTTTCGACGATAAAATCTTATTATGACTATATTTTGTACATATGATGATTACACAATCATTGGAGATTCTAATATATCATATAGAATTGGATGAAATATTTGTAGTAAATACATATTATTATAATTATGATCAGTATCAGATGCTGTGCTTAGTAGCTTTTATTCTAATAAGAATAATGAATAACAACTTATATTCTAACATAAAACTACTTGAATAATAGCTAAATTGAAATATATTTTAGTAACTTATTTGGTCTTAAACTGATACCTTAATTTACCAAAGTTATTAATACCATGTATTTTATAAAGCTTCTTAATTAACAGCCATTAGCAATTGCATTTTGTATGAACAGCTAACTTAAATAATACGAAATTTCTCTTAGATAATATTTATTGATTATTATTACCTAAAAAGCTTATTTGTATTGTAATAAATTAATTATTATTAATATTTTAGCTGTTTCTCGTTGATTGTACTTGAATTTTATTGTTTCAAATAGAAAATATAAGTTTTCGAGAGTAATGATTAAATATACTTGACCCTAATATTCCTTTTTCTAAAATAAGTTTCAAAAAGCATTTAGGTTTAGAAGTTTTTTATTATCTAGCAATATTTAATGTAAATTTTTATTTTGTTTTCTACTGTATGTTTTTCTGTATCCCATTATCCCATTAATATTATAAATGTCAAATTTTGGATGGATGGATGTTTGTTACTCAGTGACACCAGAACAGCTGAATAGATTTGGATGGAATTTGGCATAGAGATAGATTACAGTCTTGAAAAATGTATGGTTTCCATGGGATAGATTTGTTTATGCTGTACATTAGAGATGAACCCGAGCTAAGCGAGAGGGCAATTGCTCGTGCGTTCACCTTGTCGTGGTGGGGGGGCTCAGTAGTGCCCGGCAATACAGCCGGGCGCGAAGCCAAGAAACGCACAGGGAGGTGGCCCGCTTCGGTGAGCGGTGGGAGGTGGCCCTCTTCGGAGGGCGGTGTACCATGCGGGTTGCTCCTGGTACTTCTCTGACAGCAGAGTGGACCTTGGAGCAACCCCGTGGTTGTTGTGGTCTACTTCGGCAGACCTGCCGTCGGGGCGTCGTAGTTGAATGCGTAAGCGATCCTGCGACGCCCCATTAAGACGGGGGAAGATTTTGTTGGGTTTTAGTGGGTAGTACTGGCTTCGCGCGTGAGTCCTACACTTCGTGCGTAAATGCATTTCCCAACGTTAAAAAAAAAGGGGGCAATTGTAATACTAGTATTATGTATATATTATCTCTAATGCATATTTTTTGTCTTGATTCTAGGTAGATCCAAATGGCACAGGAGCTATACAAGCATTGGATGCAGCTCGGTTTCTTAAGAAATCACGTCTCAGTGATGTTGTACTTAGCAAAATATGGGATCTCTCAGATCCCAATGGCAAAGGATATTTGGATAAAGTAAGTTTATATTTAAATTTATACATTTTAAATAATTTTATTTCTAGAATATGACATAATTACTAAAGTAAAGCTAATTTTTGATAGTATTTAATTAGTTAATCTCACTCTATATCTATACTAATATTATAAAAAGAAAAGATTTGATTTTATTTTGTTTGTACTAAGTAGGCTCTGAAACTACTGAACAGATTTAGATGAAATTTGGTAAGAAGATAGTTCGAGATCCTGGGAAGCATATAGGATAGTTTATAAAGAGCAAAGCGAGTGAGTCTAGTGACTCACTCGCTTTGCTATGCTATGTAGAATACTAGTGTATTAGAAAATACCACTGACTGGCTCGTCATTTGTTCTTATTAACTAGACGATTGATTTATAGGCATATCGTCCTTATAGTATGTAGAAATGTACTAAAAATGATTTTATGCAAAAACGAAGGGAGAAAATATAGACATTTTCTTTTGCTATACATGAACTTGTGTATTACATAGTGCTATATTTATAGATGGGTTTATTTTTGATTTTACTTCAATCATAAATAGCAATAAGACCATGTTATGACTTAAAATAGAATTAAATACAGTAAATTTTATTTTTAGTGAAGGAAACCTATAATAGTCGAGCTATAGTTACTAACTAGATTTTCATTTGATTGGCTGGATTTTTATTGATTCGAAACCCCAGTGGTAATAACGTGCTTGTTTGGGAAGCCGAGTGAAGCGGGTTCAAATGCCGGGTTATGCACCTCTGATATTTTCAAGTGCAAATCATTCCCTACATGATTACCACTTGTCTTACGGTGAAGGAAAACATCGTGAGGAAACCTGCATGTCTGAGAGTTTACGTAAGGCATTTGAAGTCTGCCAACCCGCACTTGGCCGGCGTGGTGGACTAAAGCCTGATCCACCTTGTATTGAAGGGAGGCTCGTGCCCAGCAGTGGAACGTTAAAAAGGGATAGATTGTGAAGAGATTTGTTATCTTATCATTATTCATCTTTTTATTTTTCTGGCATTTTAGCTAATTTTTGCAGATACGAGATGATGATTGAAGTTATTTAATTGTTTTTAAACAAATTAAACACATAACATATGCATAAACTAGCGATTCATCCTCGCTGCGCTCGGGTTTGTTTCTGAGTACGTTTTAACAGTTAGTATGGAATAGATAGACTATATATTATATAACTTGGGCTCTTCGGGTAGCATGATGATATATATCCTATAGCCTTCCTCAACAAACAGGCTATTTAATGCAAAAATAATTTTTCAAATCGGATTAGTAGTTCCTGTGATTAGCGCGGTCAAACTAAACAAACAAACTCTGCCTCTTTATAATATTAGTGTAGATTACAGTCTAGCTTGTAGCCATTTTACAATTTTTATCTTATTGTATTCTGCGTTCTTATTTAAGAATCATGTCTGAAGAGAATCTTTAAAAAATATTTTGTAAATATTGTTGTAAGTTTTGATAGATCTAAAGCAAATATCACGTTTTTTATTGATTAAAAAATTTGCATAAAAATAAAAATTTCTGCTGTATCCGAAGTAGTCGTACTAGTATTGAATTGGTGAAATAAATTAATATTTTTACATTACAAACAGACACTTCAATTCTATTTATATGTATACTAGCAACTCACACTCGCTTCGCCTCGGTTCGTCCCTAGACAAAAACAAATCTATCCCACATGAACTGTACATTTTTCTGGGATGATATATAACCTATAGCCTTCCTGAATAAACGGGCTATGTAATGCAAAAATATTTTTTTTAATCGGATTAGTAGTTCCTGAGATTAGCGCGTTCTAACAAACAAACTTTTTAACAACAAAAATTGAACAGTTTCGAGCTAAGATAGTAAAGCAAATGAATATTTTAACGATCTTCACTAGTTAGTCCAAGTTAGGCCATTAGGTCAAATTTTAACCCTTTGCAAGTGTCTTATATCGTCAAGTGTATACTTATATATATACTCGAGAATAATGAGTCTGTTGAAATAATATTGGTCACATTAATTGCGTTTTGTAAGATCAAACACGTCAAAATAGTGTAGTCACTAAACACCCTGAAGGTACTATAACATCAAACACCATAGAATATCTTGCAAGAGATTTCTAATTTTTCATGTCATCATGTCAATAATACAACGTGAATGAATCCATACTTATGCCCGATTTCACCAACGTCACCTAAGTTTAAGGAATCCCCCAAGCATGGTTAGAGGGCTGTTAGGGGACAGTTTCTGTTTCACCGACAGTTAGGGGTCACCTAAATATTAAAAGGCCCCCTAAATTTAGGTACTCGAAATATGGGCATAAAGACGATCGTAAAACGAAATTTAATGTAGGGGCTAGTTTAGGGGTCTTATATCGTCAAGTGTATACTTATATATATACTCGAGAATAATGAGTCTGTTGAAATAATATTGGTCACATTAATTGCGTTTTGTAAGATCAAACACGTCAAAATAGTGTAGTCACTAGACACCCTGAAGGTACTATAACATCAAACACCATAGAATATCTTGCAAGAGATTTCTAATTTTTCATGTCATCATGTCAATAATACAACGTGAATGAATCCATACTTATGCCCGATTTCACCAACGTCACCTAAGTTTAAGGAATCCCCCAAGCATGGTTAGAGGGCTGTTAGGGGACAGTTTCTGTTTCACCGACAGTTAGGGGTCACCTAAATATTAAAAGGCCCCCTAAATTTAGGTACTCGAAATATGGGCATAAAGACGATCGTAAAACGAAATTTAATGTAGGGGCTAGTTTAGGGGTCTTATATCGTCAAGTGTATACTTATATATATACTCGAGAATAATGAGTCTGTTGAAATAATATTGGTCACATTAATTGCGTTTTGTAAGATCAAACACGTCAAAATAGTGTAGTCACTAGACACCCTGAAGGTACTATAACATCAAACACCATAGAATATCTTGCAAGAGATTTCTAATTTTTCATGTCATCATGTCAATAATACAACGTGAATGAATCCATACTTATGCCCGATTTCACCAACGTCACCTAAGTTTAAGGAATCCCCTAAGCATGGTTAGAGGGCTGTTAGGGGACAGTTTCTGTTTCACCGACAGTTAGGGGACACCTAAATATTAAAAGGCCCCCTAAATTTAGGTGCTCGAAATATGGGCATAAAGACGATCGTAAAACGAAATTTAATGTAGGGGCTAGTTTAGGGGACTTTTAAGCTAGGGATCCCATACGTAGGTGGTAGCTTATGGGACGTTGGTGAAATCGGGCATTAGTATTTTATAATTGTTCTACAAACTTCTGTTCTCCTTCTCTTAAATATAAAATATATATTAGTAATTATTCCACTCTTTAGGGTTTTTTTATTTTATGAAAGGGCCTCCATATAAATTAAGGTATAGCAATTAAATCTAAGTTGTAGCTCAGTAGTAACGGTCTTGCTTGGGAAACCATTTGGTTTCCGGATTTGAATCTCGGGTCTTGCACTTCCGATATTCTTATGTGCGAATCATTTTCAACATGATTACCACTCGCCTTACGGTGAAGGAAATCATCGTGGAGATACCTGTATATTAGAGAATTTAGCAAGTTTTCAAATAGCACGTACAGTCCATTAATACGCGATTTCGCGGCCTGACCCGCCTGGCATTGAATGGATACTATGCCCAGCAGTGGGACGTTAAAATTGGCTGAATAACATTCATAACGCACTTCTCGCACCTCTGATATTTTCTTGTGCGAATCATTTTAAACATGATTACCACTTGTCTTACGGTGAAGGAAAACATCGTGAGGAAACCTGCATGTCTGACAGAACCTACCAAGTTTTCGAAAGACTTGTGAAGTTTGCCAACTCGCACTTGCCCAATGTGGTGGACTATGACCTGATCCCGCTTGTATTGAAGAGAGGCCCGTGCCAAGCTTTTTGACGTCCCACTGGAGGTCAAAAAAGGCCGAATACAACATTCATAACGAATAAGGTATAATGAAATCGAATACATACTTTTTGAATAAATATAAGTTTTATGTAACTTTTGATATTACTTCTGATAATTTTTAACAGAATAGTCCTGTAAATATTTTTGGCTCGATTGGGACTCGAACCCAAGATTAAACATTTGAACATGCTAATCCAATATTCAATAATTTTTCCAATTTATCCGTCTTGTTTAAGGTCTTTATATAGTTTTATGTGTTCCAATAAAACGAGGCGTGCAGTCCTATGAGTCTGCATTATATCGTAAAGTATTTTAGTGCTTAGTTGTAAATTCGATCAGACTTTATTATGCAATATTACCTTACTACATATGTTTTTTTTAAATATTCTACAAATAGAACTTTTATTTTTAATTTTGATAAATTAAAGTTTATTTAAAAAAATAAATTTGGATATAAAATCCCTAAAAAAATTTTTTGGATATACAATCCTTAATATTCCTTAATTTTTATCTAATTTTCTTGCTTGCTACCTATCAGTGGCTATAGAAACATTACAATTACAAAAAGTATGGATTTACATAACTGATTAAAATCGTATTCAGCCCTTTTTAAAGTCCCTTTGCTGAGCACGGGCCTCCCTTTACTACAAGGGGGATCAGGCCATAGTCCAGCAAGACTTCACATGTCTTTCGAAAACTGTCTCTTAAACATCCAGGTTCCCTCACGATGTTTTCCTTCACTTTAGGACAAGTGGTAATCATGTTAGAAATGATTAGCACATGAAAATATCAGAGGTGCGTGTACTGATGATTTTTTTTTAATTATAATGTGTGAACGATAATTTTTGATTCAGATATTTTTAAGATATTTTTGCATTATATTTAAGACTATACCTTAAATATAATGCAAAAATATCTTAATAAGGAAATTATGCAGTTTCTACTCTACTTTAATGGTATAGATACGTACTAAAAGTCTAGTTTCTTTGTGTGGGGTGAAATATTTGTACTACGAGTAATATATAGTATTGTGACTATTACACGTAGTTAAATGCAATAGATT